CAAGTGTGGGAGGAGCAGGACAGGCACCATGGCAGTGCCAGCTTCCTCCATGAGGCAGGGGGAGCCTGAGATGCCCTGGGCAAAAGGCAACAGGCTAGGGCAGGCGAGAACCCACAGGGCAGAGCACTCCACGCTGACACAGCGAGGGGCCAGTGGGAAAATGGAGCCAAGGAGGACCTCAGAGACGGCCAGGTCTAAAAGAATCAGGATGAGGGTAAGACTTTCCTCTAGATCCCAATCTTTAAAGATAAACCAGCAGGGCATGGCAGGCACGCCTGTAATCTCAGCACTCAGGAGGATTGTGAGTTTGAGGTTGGCCTGATCTAGTGAGTTCCAGAACAATTCCCTTTTTGTGGTCATTACAGACTAATCTTCTTTAAGTTCGACAGGTGAAGAACACAGTAGCTTTCTGTCTCGAGTCTAAAGTCCTCACCTCCTCCTCGTCTCCCTCCCCCATTCCAAAGGAAGCCATAAGAAAGCGAGAGGTGAGTAGCAGGAACTGAAAGGCACCCAAGAATAACCCTAAGGAGAGAACGAAAAACGAACTCAAGTGAAGGGTGGACGAGACCAGGGTGGTACCACCAGTCAGCTCCCCAGAGAGGGTTACACTGCAAACGCAGGTTCCCAGAGCAGCCCGCGGACCATGGCCTCTCAGCAGGATTTTGGGTTTTTTTTTTGGGGGGGGGGGCTACTAGGGTTTGAGCTCAGGGTCTATACCTCGAGCCACTCCACTGGACCTTTTTTGTGATGGGTGTTTTTGAGATAGGATCTTGCAAACTATTTGGCTAGCTTCGAACCTCCTGAGTAGCTGGGATTACAGGCGTGAGCCAGTAGTGCCCAGCTTAGCAGGGTTTTGACGAGCTCAAGCTCGCTGTGAAGTGGAATTGAGGTGAGAGTCAGAAACTATCTAAGGCAATTCTGAGGAAGAAGACCACAGAAAGGTCTTGCCATGTCACACGAAAGGACTCTGCCCACTGAGACCTGTGTCGTGGAGTCCAGAACTGGGTGCAGAGGCCCCACATGGGTTTTGGGAGGTGGGTGGGCACCCTCATCTCTCCTACAACCAAGAGCCAGGCACAGATTCCAGGAGGAATGCAGAAGGGGCAGGGGGCGCAGACACCCAGTCACTCAGCAACCCTGAAAGTCTCCAGCCTGACACTGGCTAGCACTGGAGGCCGAGATCCCTAGGGTACCCCCCCCACCCGAGATGCCTGCCGGCTGCACTGGCCACAGGACCTGCACCGTGGGCGACGGCAAGCATTAGTGCCGAGTCACACTGGGCAGAGAGGTGCCCTGGTCAAGATGAGCAGCAACGAGTGCCGCCTGCTCTTAGGAGCCCGTCACCAGGCCTTGGTGACGATGACAATGAAGAATGTCTCATGACAGCAGCTCAGAAAGAATGTACCTGCCCCAAGTGGATGGCGGTGAGGAGAGTGGGAGCCATTGAGCCATCCCCGGAGAGAACCAGGCTCTGCTGGGATGAAGTGACTCCAGCAGGCAGGATCAGCATGAGGAGTCACGTGGAACAGCATAAGAAGACGGAGCACTCAGAGACTGGCAAGGGTGGGCTGTCGTGGGAGAGGGCTAGAGAGACACTAGGGAAGTGAGCGTCGGCAGGGTCACGTGCATCGGGAGGAAAAGACGGTGCCGTGGCCCGAACATCTATGAGCCCCACATGCTCTTGGCTAACATGCTTGCCACGGTGTTGGCACCAGGAGGGGACCCTCGTGAGAGGGGCTGGTGGCCTCAGAGAGCTGCTACAGCCCTCCCCCAACATGAAGCAGCCGTGAGAACCAGGGAGCAGCCTCACAGACACGCCTAGACAGATGCCTAGACGGATCTCATGCTTCCAGTCTCCAGAACCGGCAGCCAGGTGTTTCTGTGGCTTTAAGCCACCCAGCAAGTGGCATTTTTTTTGCTAGAGCAGAGACACACGGCCACAGAGCCTCCCTGTCCCCTCTGAACAAGGCTGGGTGAATGCTCACTGAACTGGTTTACCTGGAATGCCGGTCAGGAGCCTCCTGCCCAGCGAGTACCGAGAGCAAGATGACAGGATGGCTAACTGCACCGTGAGGCCAGAGAGCCCCATGCCAGCTCTGTCCAGGACCCATGAGGGGCAGGGCACCATGGAGTCACTCCACACTTAAGACCTTCCCCCAGACCTGCTCAGGGGACATCCCTGGCCCTGAAGAGTCTTGCAGAGGGGCCCCTGGACAATAGTCCCCACTCGACAATGGTCCCCAGTACTGCAGACCAGGCTCCTACACGAGGCAGCCACCACCTTGCCCATTTCAGGAACCCAAGAGAAGGCAGTCAGTGCCTGGGTCTGGTCAGGCCGTCTCAGGAAGACGCAGCCCAGGGCTCCCTGGGGACAAAGAGCAGGGCTGGAGAAACCATCAGAGGAAGATGGAAGGTTAGGAAAATGCACGCTTAATTGCACCGAGCTGTGAGGGGTGAGGAGCTCTTAAATCAGAAAGCAAGTGTCCACGCCTCCTCCCCGAAGCGTGTAAAACAAACCCTCGCTCCTGCAGTCAGTGCTGGCCGTACCTAATTAGGGTGAAGATTTAATGACATGAGTATGGCCGAGGACATCATTCCTTGTGATGCTAATTGAATTTAAAGAAGAATGTCTGAACTGTACTCGTGCTAACCAATTACTGTGGGTTTACTAATTAATAACAAAGTCAAGTTGCCTTTGTCCTGCCACCCGCAATTAGCGAAAGATGTTTCAATTCTTCTCCTTGTGACTCGATCTGAGTGAGAAAATGGCAGCCTGGGGACCGGGCAGGTGCCAGGGCCACACCCCCAAGTGGGGTCGGGGTCAAGGCACCCAGGCTTGCGTGGAGAACTTGGGAGTTCAAAGTCAGGGACAGCCGTGAAGCCCCGGTCCACACGAGCTCGGCATGACTCACTTCTAGCTTGTCCTGGCCTCACGTCCGTTATGGAATCGAGGCCCTCGGGCACGCTTCAATTCAGGGCAAGGCTGAGGAAGCCACGCGTGTTGACACAAAGCATCAGGGTTTCCCCAGGCTCTGCAAATGGATGCACCAGTCCTCAAAAGACACCACTCCCACCCACGGTTCCCCAAGTCACCACCAAATGGGCCATCGCTGAATGCACCAAAGGCTCGATTCATGCAGACGGAGCTCAGGAGTCCATGGCCCGGGGACAGTGGCCGAGCCCCCAGCACTGTAGACAGAAAGAGGCCACGGAATCCTCTGACCACCTCCCAGTCCACAAGCCGTGCTGCCACGCTCACGGCCGGTGCCTCGCACCCCACAGTCTACAGAGCCCCCACCCACCATGCTTACTCAGTGCAGACATGCCCGGGCCCTTGGCACTGGTCAGGGTGATGGCAGTGACTTGAGGCTGAGCCTCAGACCTGCCATGAGGCCACAGTGATGCCAGGTGCCGTGGAGCTGTGTTGCCAATGAGAGCAGAGAACAGGCAAGACCACGCAGACATCCTGCTACCCAAAGGTAAAGCTGGCCACCCGCAAGTGATCGACACACACCCAGGAGTGTGACGCACGGCACAGGTACTGCCTACAGCCTGTCTTATGTTTCATCCCACGGTCACCTTCATGTGGGACCAGAAGAGGTGCCAGCCTCACGTGCCGTGCCTGCCGGGCCCGTGTGTAGTCAACAGACACCACAGGGCAACCTCGTCTGATGTTCGCACCCTCTACAGGGCCACCGAGGGCACCAGACCAGCAGGTGCCTGCACAGTCCCTTCCTGCTGCTCCCACCCTCACTTTGCAGAAGTGTAAGGCTGAGACCGCGCTGCCCCATTCCACCCACTGATGTCACCCAGCCACGTGGCCTGCTGCCTCCAGGAGCGCCCCTCTCAGCACAGCAGCGTGCACCTCCACCAGCCATTGGGACAGTAAACTGTCTCGGGGCCCAGCTCACTGTCCACGCCTGGCCCTCAGAGCTGACCACTATGTACTGTGCAGGGCTGTCCAAAGTCTCAGCCAGCAAGGTGGGGCTGCCTGCCCTCACCCCTACTAACTGGGACTGCTAAGGGCATGCTGTTGTCCAGCTCCTCCCAGCAGGGGTTGAACAGCTGGCCACCCTCCCTGGAAACACTTGCTTCCCCAGGACTCTTAGAGGGAACGCGTCAGGGCCTGGGCTTCACCTCCTGTGTGCTCCTGAGGGCAGAAGCACCACCCGGAGCCAAGAATACATCTGGCCCACGGGTCCCAACTCAGGGCCCAGGCTCCCTCCCAACTCACGCCGCCTGCCCAGGCCAGCGTGTCATCATCGCCTCAGCTCCAGACTTCCATGTTCACCACAGGCCCTGCAGCCACCGCCCCAGTCCCCTGCACCCAGATGCTCTGCACAGAACAGCTGGCCACCTCCCAAGGACCAGAAATCAGGCATGCCACTGTCCCTCCCACCCCCACTGACACCACATCCTCTCCTCGGGCACTGCCTCGCACAGCCGGATCCCCAACCATACACTGGACTTGGTTTTGGCCACCCCCAACCTTGCTGTCCCCAGAACTCGCTGAGCTCCTTCCAGGCCCAGCCTTGGACCCCGCTGACCTCTGCTCTCCTGCCTTCTGCCATGGGCTCAGCTCACAGCTCCTTACTCTCCCAGCTACAGGGTGCCATCTTGCCCCTCACGCTGCCCATTCACTGCGTGCCCCACGCTGATGAGGAGGTGCCACATCTTTGGGCACTTGGTGAGTGGACAGCCTGTCCCCGTCTCCAGGCCAGCCCGGGCACCCCATAGCTGGGCTCCCAGGGGCTGCAGGTGAAGCCGTGCACACCCCCAGCAGTCTGACATGGAAGACCTGGACTCAGTGTCCCTTCCACACCCTTTCCACTTCCACATGTTTCCCCATGACAGAGCAGCACCAGGGCTGGGAGGCAGCAGTCGTGACGGGACAGGACAGGAATTCCTCCAGTGCATCTGGGAACAAGGACTCCAGGTGGCCTAAACCCCGGCTGCCCTTCATTCACCACAGGGTGTCAGCGAGGTGTGTCAGGACTCACCGTGTCGGCTCTCTGCTTCTGGCCTCCAAGCTCCTCTAGAGCCTGGGACAGCTGAGCCTGCAAAACAAGACAGAGTGGGTCAGAGGTAGGGACAAGCCAACTGACCTCCCTGGGCTATTGGAAGGGACAAGGTCTCCCACATCCCACCATGGCCTCCACTCCTGCTGGGCCAACGGCCTGGGCAATGGGCACTGGGCATCAAGCCAGGTCAGCTGGGGCCAAGCTGCAACTCCACACAGGCCAGGGCCACCATTTGGAGAGGTGGCTGAGCAGGCATCCCGGTAAACACAACACCCCAGGTGTAGCCTGAGTCCTGCGCGTGGCCGTGGTGGACACAGCGAGGTCCCCCGGTGAGGAAACCGTCCTCCTGCCTCCAGGCAGGCTCACTTTCCAGAAGAGCTGGCAGGTGGCTGTGCTGACACAGACCACATCCCAGGGCAGACCAGGACAGGATGGGGAGAGCCACCCTTTGCTGCCCAGGCACCTGGCCTGCCTCCTCTGAGCACAGAGGAGCGAGGGAGGTTCTGAGCGTGGGTGCCAAGGGAGGCTGGGTGGAGCCGGAACACTGCAGCCTCCAACTGACCAAGCGTTCCCACGAGACGTCTGGGCTGCAGCCTTGACGCCACAGGGAAGGGTCAACGCTAAACTCCGCGCTCTTGTGGCTGCCTGGCCTCTGCTGCAGCCTCCAGCCGCAGAGCTTGCTAGCTATCTCAGGGACCCTACATGACTCCTGAGGCCATCGTGCTGGAGGCCACCACACAACTCAGCTTCAACTCCAGACAGGGAAACACAGAGCCCAAAGGTTGAGGTGTGTGGACCTCAGCACCTGCGGCACAGCAGGCCTCCAGGAACACGCGTGGATCCCCGCTGGCCACGTTGGCAGGCCAGGCCAGCGTCCAGCATCCAGCATCCAGGACAAGAACAGGTCCAGGCCCTCACAGGCCTGCGGAGGCACCCTGAACCGGTGCGAAGCGACACGTGGAGAGGCCAGATTCACAGGAATGGGACACCTACCTACCATCAGGTGGTGACCGGGGGTGCCCATAAATTCACCCTCCAGTGAGCCAGTGATTAATCAGGACACGGTCACTCTCTCGCAGGGTGACACACAGCCTGGCCCAGAACAGCAACTTCTTACAGGTACGAGGGGGAGGAACATGTCCCTTTGCTCTGTCCACTGCACAGTGGCCTTGGGAGACAGTGCCAGCTGGGCAGCGGACCCCACAGCCAGAGGCACCCACTGAGGACAGCCCAGCACCACTTCTCCCCCTCCTCACTGGCCATACTTCAGTAAGGAATAAACTGAGCCCAGAAGCTAAGTCCTACCCAGCCCCAGCCAGCAGTCAGTGGTGAGGGCAGAATTTGCACCCAGGCTCCCCCGACTGCAGGGCTCCGCTCAGTCCACCACTCGGAAAGCCAGCCCTGCTTGCCTGCTCTCAGAGCACACCGTGCCCACCAAGGACACCGGCCCACGTTCTCGTGAGCAAGGGGGCCACGAGGGAATACCGACACCCCTCCACCCGGTGACGCAGGGACACGAACACCTACAGAGCAGTAAGAAAAAACAAACAAGGTGATAAACACAGGCAAAGAGGCAAACAGACGTCTCCCAGCAAAGAATCCGCACACAGCCGGCAGACGCACAGAAAGGTAATTAACGGGGCCGGTAATTAGAAAATGCAAATCGGGACAACACAGTGAAATGCCATTTTGTAACATTTGGCTGGCAGAAATGAGGAGCTCTGGCGAAACTAGGAGTTGGACAGGAAGTAAATCAAACCGAGTTTCATCTGCACTGACGGTAGGAATGAAACCTGAGGAGCTCTCTGGAAAATAACGAGGTTCCCCTTAGACCTGAATGTCTGCCTCACCCATCGCCCCTCGGTGTAGGCTCAAAGGCATACGAAACCTGCTTTGGCTGCCTCTAGCTGTGTCCACCAGACACCAAAGAAAGCGAGGAGCAGCTGGCCTCTGACCCGATCTGACCCTGGCATCACTGACACCCAGAGTCCCTCCCCCAACTACCAGACATTGGGACACAGCAGTGTGCTGGCACCACGTGCTCCCCTAGCGCTAGGTGTCCCACCCCTCAGGTCAGTCGAGCAAGCCCAGAGAGGACAGTTTCGTGTACGTGCACTGGATGAGCAGCAGAGATGAGGTGCCCGAGGAGAACACCTGGGCCTGTCCTGGCCACATCTGTGCACAGCTGGGGCTTTGTCGGTCACATGTCCACAGCTGGATAGCAGACGCCTCCTGAGGTCCCAGCCTGATTCACCCAGAGGCCTGAGCAACAGGCCCAAAGCTGTCACCCAACCAACCTGCCAAAGAAGAAACTGACCTTGGTCCCACTGAGGGACGTGAATCACGGAGGCCACCAAGCCCCTCCTAGGAGAGGACAGACAGGGCAAGGCCCTGCTCAGGGCTAAGCCTCACCATAGGACAACAGCTCTGGAGCTGAGGACAGGGTGGGAAGGTCCTGCAGGCTAGTGCAGACTCAGGGGAAACCTTGTCCTTGTGGTGGCTTCAGAGGGCTGGTCCTGCACCTGTGCAGGGAGGTCAGGAAGTGGAACTGGCCCAGCCCGGCTACTTTATTTCTTCCTGAAGTTCTAAGGATGACCCCAGGCCTTGCACGCAGTAGGAAAGCACTCTAAATCTGAGCTGCATCCCGACTTTGGGTTTTCCTTGAGACGGGGTTCACTATGCATCACAGGCTTCTCTCCAACTTGTGATCCTCCCACCCCAGCCTGAGCACTGGGATTATAGGCAGGCACCACCATGCCCACCTTGCCTATCTACTCGTTTTCTCCTTGAGACTTCCCGATACAGTCAGGAAGAACTGTAATCAGTACAACAGCAGGTATCAGCCCTGCCAGCCATTTCTCATCTGCCCACAGCTGGCCCAGTCACCTGAGTGAGTAGCCAGTGCAATGGCCACCCATTACATCCACCCCGCTCATGCTGCGAGAGTTACTGACTCTGCCCGAGATGTGCCAGAGTCCCCAGAGCCAGGCCAGGGCTGGGAGCAGGGAGGACAGCCCTGTCCAGACTCTGGAGGGAGGTCAAGCAGCCTCAGGGACGATGTGGCTGTGAGGCGACCTCAGGGTGAGGGTTGCCTCCAGAAAGCTGGCACCACATGGTAAAGGTGGCAGGGGGCTGCACAGCCCCTGCAGAATGACATGACACTGACTATGTCCTCCGGCAGGGCTCCGGGGGCTACGTGTGCTCAGACACAAGCCCTGGACACGCGCTGTGTGTGACACGTAGACGCTGCAGCAAGACCTCAGCAGGGCTATTTTTATCCCAAGGTGTGAAGTGATCTAGCACCCCTGCCAGCCGCAGCGAGCTCAGGACAGTGGCAGCGGGTGCAGGCTGGGACAGGATGCCACAGAGCCCTGAAGGGGTTTGTGGGGTGGCTCAACAGGGAGGATCCCAAGAGTAGACCACCAGCCCCACACAGAGGATGAGGCCCAAGCAGGGAGGGTCCCCCAGGGCCACAATTATCCCAAAGAGGACAAGATTCAAACTGCAGCCACCTGCCTCCCTCATTAGCATACGTGGGTTTATGACAATGTGACAAAAAGGAGCCAGCAGTCCCGAGAGGTCTTTCCAGGCCGCAGAACTGGGACCTGCAGGAAGCTCTGACACCTTCTTTGCCGGGCAGTGATGCTGGGGGAGGGGGTGGCACGGACGCAGAAGTGCCTCCCGTGTGATTGTGCCCGAAACAACTTCAGCTTCGGTGGGCGCCAGAGCAAACCAGCCTGCGAGCAGGCAGCCGGCACACCAGGCACCCAGACCTGCTGCAGAGTGCCAGGCGGAAGCTCAGAGGGCCGAGGTGTCGCCAGAGCCCCGTCCACACAGAGTCAGAGCTGCCAAGGGGGCCCGGCCGGCCAGTGTTGTAACAAGCACTGGGGGCTCAAGAGTGAGACCTGCTGCTCGGGCTCAATTCAAAGCCACAGGAGCAGAGTGCGAAGCCCAGTGTCTGCCCACCCACTGTGACCTGCCACCAACGGCGATGTGTGCGTGTTCCACCTCACATTTCAGCCCTATTTCCTCCAGCTGTGAACAGCGGCCGGGCGACAACCGGGCGGAGCCAAGTGAGGAACTCGGCCTAGGGACACGCAGCAGCCACCGTGCCCTTGGACACAGCCAGTTCTGTGCCAGGAGGGACGGCCTTCCTGTCCGTGCTGAGGACGCCACGCCCGTCCGTGGCCGCACGTGTCGCTGGCCTCAGCCCAGTGTTCCAGGCTGCTCACTTCTCCTCACCCTGCGTCCACTGCCTGGGCACCTCGGGTTTTCCACCGCACCACACCCTGCTTGGCACAGCGCCCTTCGCCTCCTGCACCGATCGAGAGGGAGGGAGGAACAGACGGCGCCACCTGAGCCCGCGCAATGACGGAAAGCACAGGAAAAGCCGAAACCGCCAGGTCCCCGGCAATCTGAAACGAGGGTTTCCACGCCGCCATGCAGCCAGCAGCCCCATCATCTGTTTTAATTAGATAAACTGGAAACAAATCAGGCCGACGATGGAAGCGAGGTGCCATGTACTCATATTCATAGCTCCAGTGACAAGATTCGTGACATCTGCTCCCGACTTCCACAGTCACTTTATTAAATGGAATAAATAAAAACTCCGCGCAAAATGGCATGGGCCTCGCCAGATACAGACACGACGACTCTCCCGGTGGCACTTCCAGCTTGTTTTACAGAAACGCTTTGGCTGGAATCGAGGCACACCCCGAGCGACAGCTGACTGAGGAAGCTAACCGGGGGACAAGGTGGCACTGGGGTGGCTGTGGCCAGCCCTGCAGCCACACCTTGCGTCTGTGAGCGCCATGTGCCCTGACTCAGCTGTCCACCCTGGCCACACCCAGCACATGGCTCACAGGAAAAGCCCACTGACTCAGAGTAGAGAGAATGGGGACTTGGGGTTCAGGGATGGAGGAGAGAGATGGACAGAGTGAAGCAGTCAGACAGAAACAAGGGAAGGGAAGTCAACTGGAAATAAAAAAGCAGTGAAATGGGGCCGGGGGAGGCAGCAACCTCACACGACACCCTGAGTCCCACACGGGACTGGTGTCCTTCCCTGTGCCTGTCTCCCTGGGGCCCTCCGTCTAGACCATGATAGAGGTGGGGGGTGGGGGCGCCCCATCCCATTCCTGGGCAGCAAACTGGCTGCACTGGCAGCTCCTGCACAGGGGTCCACCGCACATTGCCACAGCTAAGCAAGGAATGGCACCGACAAGGTGAGTGAGCTGCTGGACCAGTCTGGGTGACACTTGCCTGCCTGGCAGGCACTAAGGGACCTTTGAGGAAGGACCTGGACTACTGTGTCAACACAAGATACTCCACTAATAAACCCCTGGTGGCTCTGAGTGTGCATAGTGAGGGGCTTGTCATATGCGAAAGGTTACCGCTTCACAGAACAACGGACAGCCCACTGCCACAGCCTCCAGTGCTCTCACCCTGACTCTGCAACCCAGGCCAGCGTCCAGCCACGGTGCACGGAGGGCAAGGTCAGGGCTGGGCCCCCCGCGGCTGCCCAGCAGTGACTCTGAACTAGGTGCGGTTCAAGTAGCATGCACGCCCCCCGCCACCCTCTGCACACGCAGGGTCCCTGGGCCAGGCCTGCTGTGGGTGCAAACTCGGGCTCTGGGTGGGGACCAGGGTATCTCTGGAGCAGTGTGGACCCGAGGCTGAGAGTCAGCGAGCTCACCTGGGGAGACAGTGCAGGGAGGATGGTGAGGAGCAGGCCACCCTCCATGCCTCAGGACTCGGTGTCCTCAGTGGCAACACAGGCTCGGCCCTACCCTGCACTTCTGACGAGAAGATATAGGGTGCAGCCTGGCACCTGCAAGCCACGGCACTGTGTGTGGCAGGCGACGCCTGTCATGTTGATTAACAGGACCGGCACAAAGGAGCTGGCCTGAGGGGATCAGAGAGCCTCTGCTGGGCCCCAGGGCAAAATGGGGCTCAGTATGGGGTACCCTATGACTGAGCTGCTGCTCACTGGCCATCCTGACCTGCAGGCCTGTCCCCCCACAGGGTTGGGCTGGACGTGGAAGGGCGCTCACCCACTGGCCAGGGGGCAGGTCACGGAAGAGTAATCGCCAAGCCACGGCTGCTACACACACGGTGTAGCAGCTCTCTGGGGCTTGGTTGGCTTGGCCCCCAGCCAGGGTTCTCCCAAGCCAGGCCAGCTATGTGCCTGGATGTCCCATAAATTCTGCCGCAGCCGTGTGGGAGCCAAAAGCCACAGGCTGGCTGTCCAGAGAGTGAGCGCGGGTCCTAATCCCCAGCTCCCATGGCCTCGCCTGAAGCAGGCAAGGGCTGCTGTGGCCCCAGAGCAGAGGCACTGAGGAGACATCCCCACCTGGGTGTGGGCCCACCCCTGGCGCGCTGCCCCTGAGCCCTTCCTGCCTCTCGCCTCAACCTAGTCTCGGAGGACAGCGTCTGTGCTCACGACAGCTGCAGAGAGGCCCCAGGCCAGGCCCTCAGCCCAGGAGTCATCACCAGGTACACACAGCATCAGCACTGGACACTGAGGCCCTGTCACTGCAAGCGACAACTGGATATGTGGATACAGCTCTTGAGTTTTCTGACTGGCGGAAACGTGGGGCCCAGTCGTCCTTGACGCCTTTACACTTCACATGAAGCCTCACCCCACTCTCACCTTCCCCCCACCCCTTCCAGTGGCCCATCATTTTTGCTAACGTGGCTATGTTCTCCCGGATGCTAACTTGGGCCACATCTGTGGGGAGCACCAGGTACATGGTCCTCTTAGGCAACTGCGTGGGCCCAGGGACCCCAAGAAGCCACCTGTAGCCGTCCTTTCAACAAGGGGTGCTCTGTGGGGAGATGGGATTGGGGGCTCCGGCTGTAGCAGAGGACAATGCTGCCTTCCCCAGGTTTTGCAGGGAGGCCAGGGCTGGTATAAAGGCTGGAGCAGGGGAAGGACACGGAGAGGTCCTTAGAAGACATTAGGAATAACGGACAAGGCTGAGGACAAACCCACCTCCCTCAGGACTCCCCCATCCCCCACTCTCCCTGTGGGGCTCTCAGATCTGCTCTGTCCCCACCCCAGGCCGGCCTTCCCTGGACCTGCCCTATCCCTGCCTTCCCTCCACCTGCCTGGTTCACACCCCCAGTGGGCCTGTCTGCTGCCACCTGGTGGAGGCAGGAGGCTCACACCCTCCACCCACAGATCCAGGTATCTGGGCAGGACTCCTCCCCATTCCAGAAGAGCCAAGGCTGCCGCCCCTGGGCTGCGCCCCTCCTCCAGGCACCAGCATGCTGGGAGGTGAGGCTGCCTTAGAGGTAGGGGAGCTTGCACCCAAGAGACAGAACCCTTGAGGCCTCCCTGATAGAAGTGAGGTACCAGGCCAGACTGCCTGAGGGGACGGCGCTCCCATAGGCTCCAGGCAGAGACTGGCAGATGTGGCCAGAAGGATAAGCAGAGCCACCTCCCAGAGCACGGCCCTGCACAGCCACTGGGCCCATGCAGACTGGAGCAGAGAAGGCCAGAGGGGCCAGCCCACTCCCAGCAACCACTAAGTGTAGGTCCTCAGTCCACCCTGCGCCTGGATTGGCCCCACAAATACTCTCGTCACTAGAGCACTAGTGACAGTGACAGTGCTCCAGCACCGGCTGGGCCTCTGACCCTCATCCACTGATTCTCCTGTAACTCCAGAGGACAGACCAGGAGACAGAGGACAGCCACCTGCTGTGTTCACATCCCACCATGGTCAGGGAGGGGTCCTGACCTCACCATGAGCAGGGTGGCAGCAAGGTGCCCTGTGGTGAGTGTGTCTGGTCTAGCGCTGAGGTTGCCGACAGCCCTGTCACATGGCATGGAACACCAGCACATATGGCACCACGGTGCCCAAACTGCCGGCTCGGGAGGACCTGTGTGCAGGGCATATGGCCGACACAGACGGGACCTCTCATTGTGAAAATGCCAGGACAAGGCAAGGTGTCAGAGAGCCTTCCCACAAACCTCTCTCCATTAACATTTCCCATGGAGCTAGATGTGTTGTAATAAAATGGTCGTTAGTCACGTATGCTCCTCGGGATTTCGCTCGCTGCAGCTGAGGTTAGCCTCGCAGTTCACATGGCCGCTCTGCTGGCTGCTGGACCGGGGGAGAAGCAGGGCACGAGCCCTGACCAGGCCGTCGGGCTAGAGGCCGATGCAGGCCCCGAGGGGTATCCCTCGCTCAAGGGTTCTTGCTGTGTCGAGCGCCAGGTGAGGCCACAGAGTAGGGCTCAGGCGCCTCCTGGGCTCCGTGTGGCCTCAGCCATAAGCCTGAGGCTGGAAGGACGTGAGGGTGGCCTAGGCCACAGCCCCCAGGAAGGAGCAGCTTCACCCCATGCTGTTCCCAGCATCTGAGTCTCAATGGCCCCGGCTCCCCGTCACCCATAGACATGCCAGCCACTCTCCTGGGTGTGCCTCAGGAGACTCCCCCACCTCACTGGACACATGAGCCCCAGGGGACTAATGCCACACAGCTCCCAGACCGCGCCCTCAGACAAAACTCGGGCTCCACAGCTCACACCTGCTAGTACACTAGGTGCCCTGGGGTCAAACACCTCCCCCCAGCTCAGCGCCAAAGGGGCAGGGGCTCTGCCAACACTCCTGGAAGGGACCTGGCCGGTGCCCACTCAGTGCTGGCTGGAGAGTAACATGTCACACGCCAGCCTGGCTCTTCCATTGGACCCAGGCCATCTCTTGAGCTGGGTCATCAGCAGTGACTCTGGCTGAGGAAAGAGCAGAGACAGCTGCCTGGATGGAGTGACAGGCCATGCTAGCACCTCTCATCTGTCACACCATAGGTCGAGAAGTACTCGTGGCCACAGAAGCCAGGGACCCAAGGGCAATGAGTGAGGGCAGCCAGCACAGCAGCATGGAGCCAAAGCACCACGGTCCGTAAATCTATAGCCAAACCTAGCCTCGTCACAGTGGTTTGGTGACCTGGGCATGCCCCTGCAACGTCAGCTTTTTTGTTGGTGAAAGGAGGTGACAGTAGCTGTTTCCAGGGTACAGAGTCAGGGTGAGAGAGGGGAGCAGAGGAGCAGGCACCGCAGCGTCAGCAAGGAGCCGGCTGTGGCTTTCCTGGCTGCCAGGAAGCCCCGTGCAGGGGCAGGGCCCACCGCACCCCAAAGGGCTCTGCTGCTCCTACAGAGGGGCAGACAGGAGCTTCTCCCTCAAGGCTAGAGGTGGCTTGCAGGACTCCCTGCCAGCCTCAGGCCCCAGCACCCAGGGAGGACCACATGGGGCCATGGCAGACTCATGGTGAGCCCACAGGCACATCTGGGCCATAGGCCTGGGGCATCCAGGAGCGTGTCCACTGTTCTCCGTCCACAGTTCATTAAAGAGGACACAAGACTTAACAGAGAGCCCATGAGGTCCAGGCTGCCCGCTACCTGGAGGACCCTGTGGCATCCCCAGGACAGGGACACTGCAGGCATATGTAGCAGTGGGCAGCCCCACCCAATCCCCAGCAAAGCTGCCCACACTGAGGAGGACATGTCTCACTCTGACCCCCCCAGGCCAGGTGGCACGGCGAGGCTCGTGCAGGCAGGACCCACCTCCATCTCCGTGCTGTGAGCGTGCACCTTCTGCACCATGTCCTCGGCTTCCCGCAGGCGGCGTGTCAGCTGAGGAGAGTACTCCGCCTGCGTCAGCTCGCTGTCGTAGGACCCCAGGATGGCGCGCATGCCGTCCCGCTCCTGTGGGCAGAGAGCAGGGGTCAGAGCTGGGAGAAGGGGCGAGGTGACGCTGGTGACAGCGTGAAGGAACGTGGACAGAAGCCTCGCAGAGCCCAGGATCAAGGCCCGCCTCCAGGGCACCTGCTGGAGAGGCACAGGGGCTCGGCACTGACTTGTGTCGCCTGGGCCAGCTATCCTAAGAGCCCATTCCAGGCCTCAGGGCCCACTCTGACCTTGTTGGGTTGGACACCTCTCACTGTGACTTCTGACCAGTAACAGTCAAAGCAGAGCAAGGACAGAGCCAGGAGTCTCGTGGGCAAAGAGACCCAGCCAAGCAGCGACCCCACAGCAGCTCACTGGGAAGAGGAACACTGGGCTTAGTCCAATGTCCCAAGCTCCTGAAAGGCCAGGGTCCCCAGGGAACAGCTGTGATCTCACTGAGTGCCTTACAGCCCGCCCCCCATGGAGCGCATGGACATTTAAGGTCACCAGCCACGCCCACACCTGCCCCCTCTCTGGGGATAGGTGGGCACTGCAGACTTACTGAGGTGACAGGCAGATCACAGAGTCACAAGGTGATTCCCACAGTCACCTGCTCTTCTGGACCCCAATAGAAATACTAAGCTTGACAGTGCGGCCAGGAAGGGGACAGACACCTCCCTCAGATGGGGAAGGAGCTGGGGCACGGGCCTAAAACAGAACATCCTCGGTAAAGCCAGCAGGGAGGCCTGAGACAACAGGGGACGCCCCAGGCTAGGGCTGAGCTGCTCTGAGGCAGGGTGAGAGGTCTCCCCGGGGCTTCTCTCTGCCTTCTCTCCCTCCTGAATGGGGTTCTCAGATGCACCCCAAAGCACAGGCGCACCGGGTGCTGCCGCCCCCAGATGGAGGAGGCTGGGCCCTTCCACCAGCTCTGCCATCGCCCGAGCTCAGGACACTGAACTGGGTGCAGCAGAGTCCTCCAGAGGTCTGGTGGTACAGGATGTGCTTTCTCCCACCTTCCACCCAGGGGTCTCGCACCATGTGGGGTGGACACCACAGACACACCAGCTGACATCTCAGAGCCTCACCGAGGCTCTGCCCATCCTGACGCCAGCAGAGCACAGAAGAGGGGGTCGGTGCCTGTGAGCCCCCAAGCTCAAACCGCAGCCATCAAGTCCAAGCATCGAATCCTCCCCACATCTGTGCTCCCCGAGATAGCTGCGTGGATCACTTCTGTCACAAACACAGGGCCCAGCCAGCTGCCCTGCAAACAACCAGTACTCATGAATAAAAAGACAGTATTTAACCAATGCTGATGACACAGGCTGGTGTCAAGGCACGGGAACCAGGTTATAGGCCCTCCCCTCACGGGCAAGGCCAGAGAAGGCCAGGCCAGCTCCAGCAGGTCTCCCTGTGTCCTTGTCCAGTGGCCTGCCAGCAAGCTGCAAGGTCCTCAGACACCAGCAGTGGCTAAAGGGCAAATGGCTGCAGGCCCAAGGGAGACCTGAACATTCAGACCACCTGCAGAGCAAGACCTCCCCCACCAAGGGCTGGCAAGGCTCCATCTCCACTCAGCTGTCTACAGGCTGAGGCCCGCCGTGTCCCCCGGGCAGACCAACCCCAAGGCTCAGTGACCCCAGCATCAGCGCAGTCTATCCGACCCCTGGCCTTCTCTTGTGTAGGAGACGGGCGAGGATGCAGAGGGCGCAGAGGACCGCCTGCTACTGCTCTCCCGAGACCACTGAGCCCATAGCCTCGGGCCACTCTGGCTGCACGCTCTTCCTTCCCGAGCGAGGGACAACATTGTCACCCCAGCGTGGACTTCATAATTAGTTGATGACAAAAAATTCAATAAGCGAGAAATTAAAGTTACAAATCCAACTGGAACTGGTCACATATCTGGGGAAAATCTGTTTCCATGGGAAGGTTTGCAGAGTGTCATAATTTTATTGAAATCCTATATCTTCCCATTGACTTTTATCGCTTCAAACCGGTTACCCGCGTTGTCATTACGGAGCATCGACGCCAGGAGAGGCCGGGCGGGGGATTTCCTTTCATAAACGAGCTGTGATCGCCTCCATTATGGACCAATAAATCTTCCACACACTGCCCTGTGCTGGGCTTCTGTGTCACATCTCCAGGCTCGCTACAGCCAGCACCGAAGAGAAACATAAAGCAAGAAGTTTGCCGTCTGTGCCGTTCTGAGAAGTTGCTTTGTCATTAGGAGAGGGCCGGCCCCACGCCCGTGCGCGTGGGTAATGACTTCGATGACGGATTCCATGGCGGTGAAGCTCGCCTGGCTCCCACTTGGCGACTAATCGCTGCACAAGCAGGAGGTGCCAGTGGAGCCGCAGACGCGCACAGAAGTGCAAAGCAAAGTGGCATTTTCCAGAGTGCTCCTCCTCAGGTACACAGCAGTCCTGCTTGCAGCAACGCTCAGCACAGAATTAGTGGCGAGCAGAAGACAGTCTCACCAAGAAGGAAGCAGCCGGGGCGGCGGAACCACCTGAGCCATTGGGGGGCATAGGAACGCCCTGGTTCCTGTGGTGACCTGGTGCCAGCACTGCTCGCCCCGTGGCAGGAAAAGCCAGCAGCCTGTCCCCACCTAGTCAGCCCCACAGCAAGGAAACTAAGGGAGCAGTGTCGGCAAGGAAGAGTTCCAAGGTCAAGGCCACATAGTGGTGCTCTAGATGAGAAACCGAGGCACAGAGGTAAAGGGCTACAGCTCGCTGTGGTGGAGCGTGCCTGTGAACCTAGGCACACGGGAGGCCTCGGTCTCAGGCTAGCTGGGTGAAAAGCAGGAGACCCTATCTGAAATACAAACCAAACGCAAAAGGGCTGGCGGCGTGGCTCAAGGGGTACAGCGCCTGCCGAGCAAGTGCGAGGCCATGGGTTCAAACCCCAGTACAGTCGCTGACTGGTGTCTGAGCATCCCAACACTGTCCTTCCTTCCACAACGGCCAGGCCCGGCCCGGCCCGAGCATGGACCCAGGTAGGAGGCCAGTAGGGGCCTCAGACGATCATCATGGGACAAGCAGCAGACTGCCTATGCACCCCAAGATAGGAAGATCCCTTCTCATGTCTGTGGGTAAGGGGGCTCTCTGCCCACCACGCCCTCCTCAGGAAAGAGGAAAAGACTCAGGTGAGCAGGCAGTGCTGCAGTCAGGGGAGACAGGGCAGCAGGACCAGGAGGAAGAGAAAATCTGGAGCAGGTGACGGGACCAGGAGACAACATGGAGAGGGCAGCAGACAGCACGCGTGTGCACGTGGCTGCACAGCGCTGTGCGCCCGAGCGTGCGATACCCCTTCACCAGAGCGAAACCTGCATGCTCTGCTCATCTGCAGGTGGCCAGAGGACAGCAGGACAGCCCTGCTGGTGCTCTCAGCCTGCGGCCCTGGCCCTGTGGAGCGAGGCGTCTCCTGGAGAGCTCTGTGCTGTCACCAGTGTCGCCAGAGCACCCGCGCCGGGGAAGCCTGTCACTCACTTTTCACTCAACTGTGCGTGTGTACTAAGCCTGGGTCCAGCACCGAGAAGGCCCTGTGGGGCTCAGGCAATTAGGGGACCCGGGAGAGGACAGCACAGGCCTCAGGCAGAAGACCCAGGAAAGGGCTGTGGCCTGAGTGACAGAGAGAGGCTGGATGGACACAGGTGACCACAGCACGCACACCACAACTGGCATATGGGGGAAGGTCAGCAATCAGGTGCCCGGCACGGGCAGTGCCCACAGGATGTTGGGGACAGCAGTGAAGACGACAGAGCTCAGTCCATGGTCCCTGGGAGCCCTGGAGGACCTCACAATATGCTGGGGAGCCCCTTGGGACAGAGGGTCACCCGACCCATGTACACCAAGGCCAGAAGCAGAGTGGGGTTGAGAGGCCACCACACAAGCTGAGACAGCCGGGGGGCAGGCAGGCCTCGTGCCTCAGTAGGGATAGGCAGGGCAGTGGAACTGAAAGCCAAGGGACAGCGATGAGGACAGCCACCCATCCAGGAGCCAGAAAATTCAAGGAGACCAGGCAGGGCGTGGAACAGAGGCATGTGCCCAGACTGGAGGACCAGCCTGCAGCCTGTCACTCTCCAGTGACACGAGGTGTGCCTGCCCGGGCCAGCTCCCAGGCCACAGAGACCTCACAAAGCCATGCCCTGGCTGGCCATCAACTTCCTGTGTGACCTGAGGAAAACAATCAGCCTCTCTGAGCCTCAGGATGCTCACGTGGACAGTGACGAGGGAAAGCACCTCTAGTCATCCTGACAATGAAACACAGGCCTGTGTGACGCTGTGAACACCATGGCCACACCCAGCCAGGTTTCCACCTGGTGTGGGCCACCACGTCGTCACTACGCTGCTTCTAGGACAAACACGCCTGCTGGGACTGGACACGGAGCCCACGTGGGCGGTCTCAAGCTGGCCTTGGGGATGACCAAAGAGGGTCTGAGCTGGGCCCAGTGGCACCCGTGTGCAAGGGCCCCGCCCCAGACCGCGCCCCACCAGCCCTCCAGGAGGAGTGCGGGGTGAGCTGAGGTTGAGCGCATGTTGGCAGATCCTCACTGCTCCCTCCCGAGCCTGGGCTGCCGGGGCTGACTCAGTCCTGCCGCCCACCCACATGGCTTCCCAGCGCCATCTGAAAGGCTCTGGGGGGCCCGTGGGATGCTCTTGCAGGCTCTCCGCCTCCAGCCCTTCCCTTCTGCCACCTCCGTGGCCTCTCACCTAGTCCCCCTGCTCCTCTCAAATCTCAGTCACTCCAGGACGCTGTCTCAGGAAGACAGTGATCACAAACAGCTGCTCCAACCACCGCCCACAAGGAGTCAACGTCGCCCAAAGTCTGAGGGCTCTGAGACAAAGCCAGGGCTGCAGACCTGCCCTGTCCTGCGCCCTCTGCCCACGGCCACCTTCTCCTCGGACCCTGCAGTCACAGTGCACTCTGCAGGGCCCCGGGCAGCAATGCCAGCTGGGCCAGGAGGCGATTCTGCAGAGACCCTGGTCCTCAAGAAGGCTCCTGGTGACCCAGGCCCAGCTCCCAGTCCTGTAAATCAGGCCACA